AAGCACCACTGAACGACACAGGAAATCATTCCTGCCTGTGGCCATCTCCCTGTACAACTCACCCACTTAACACACAGTTTACTGCAACAGCTACACCCTTCTTGCACATGTTCTTCCTTTTTCAGCTATTTATTAATAAGTGACTTTTATGTGTGTGTGTGTGTATATATATATATATATTGTGCTATTCTTAGTTAGTGTATTGTCTGTCCTTGTTAATGTTTGTTTATAATAAAGCACTGTAATGAAAAATAATTTCCCCTAGGCATCAATAAAGTATTCTGATTCAGAAGAAAGCAAAAATGGTATATTGGGGACAAACTGAGCCAATTCCAGTATACCTGGTGCGCAGAGAAAAGTTATCAATATGCTTTTTGTGACATTTTTGTTTCGTGGTGTGCCGTGTGATTTTTCTAATGTGAAATATGTGCCGTGACTTGGTAAACACTCAGATTCTGTTTGTGTGTGTGTCTGCGTATTTAAGCATGCTTGCAAATAACTGTGTGTGTCTCTAAGCCTTTATAGGAGCATGTGGTGGCTGCAATGAAGAAAACAGAGCATATCAGTATTCTACGAAATGTTTTCTGTTATGATGGTGTAGATGTTAATAATGTGAATAATTAACTCAGCCACAGGTCAGTGGCTCAGTTTTACTGTTTTTCCTGAAATGCAAAAGAACCCAAACCCTAGTTTATTTTTAAAGGTTAATACAATTTTATTATTACAATATGGTATTCATATTTTAGATTAATCTACATCTGCAAAATAAAATGTCACAAAAGCCTTTAAATAAATGTAGTCTTGTACCCTGTAGGCTCACTCCTGCTTGCTGCAGGTGTCACTGTGACAGCCCTCGGTGAGCTGCTTGATTAAAACATGGTATCAGACAAGGTTAACAGCTCTGCATATTTTATTTGAACTTCTGTAGCTTTCTGCCAAAACAAATTGCAACGAAATGGGAGCAGCTACAAAATTAGTTTTACTTCATGTTGGAGATTGGTAATCAGGTGGTTTGATGAATGATTCCTGCCAACTTTTTCACAGTAAAGGGGTTTAATAGTGGTTACTGTAATAAATCTATTTGAGCTCACCATCTCATTAACAGCACCGCCTTTTCGCTCTTTCCTGTATGTGTACAGAAAAGCTCCACGTTAAATTATGACAGCAAATTTGTCACTGTTGTTGTTGTGTTATCGGTCTTTTTCTTGAAAAGTGGGGGCTCCCTGGGCTTAATGTTGTCACACTTTTTATTGACACGCTTGCTCCTAGATGTTTTTGCTCAAGGTGCCGTTTCACTGGCAAATGTATGTGGACCACTTGCCATGAAGGCTACAGAACGCCACAGCACCGTTTTGTAAATAAAGCATCAAAGAAAAAAAAATAGCATCCAGGATTTTTTGTCATATCTAGTTACTTGATGAATCATCAAGTAAATTTTACACAAAATAAGAAGTAGTATCAATAAAAAGTAAACAATTAAGTTCTTACGAAATTCATCCTTAGGCATGTGCAAAATCAATCTTAGGCAACGTAGGCCCTGATGATTTTTGGCTCTGCAGTGAGTTTCATGAGAGTAAAACTATCATCACAAAACATAAGTGCTGTTCTGCAAGATTTATTACTGGGTCTAATCAAAAACATTCTTAGTACTTTTAAATAAGTATATTATGTCTTTAGTTACCTAACTAGGTGACTTAGGACAGTAACAAGTGTCAGAGGTAATGGCAGCATCATGTTGGTCCTTTCATTGTAAATAAAGCTGCAGCTAGCCATTTAGACTCAAATTTTTAAAGGAAACACATTCATGTTATATATAGTACAGTGGGGCAAAAAAGTATTTAGTCAGCCACCGATTGTGCAAGTTCCCCCACTTAAAATGATGACAGAGGTCAGTAATTTGCACCAGAGGTACACTTCAACTGTGAGAGACAGAATGTGAAAAAAAAATCCATGAATCCACATGGTAGGATTTGTAAAGAATTTAGCCGTAAATTAGGGTGGAAAATAAGTAGTGGGGGAACTTGCACAATCGGTGGCTGACTAAATACTTTTTTGCCCCACTGTAGGTGGTTGGTGTGCTCTCACCTGCAAATGTTCTGATGTAGTTTCTCCTGCAGCTCAATGAAACTGTCATAGCGCTCCTTTGTGAAAGTAATGTTCCTCAAGACTGCTGCCACAGCGTGGGGTCGCACTGCTTCCGTCTGAGGGGAGTGAAGCGCCGCAAACATAGGGTCAACAGGCAAATCGCACTGATACTTGTTCTAGGTTACAAACTATTTTTTTTCTTGTTAAACATTTTACAATTGTGAACATCTCCACACACCTCCTTAGTGATGATCAGCTTCTGAGGCTCCCCACTGAGTGGGCTAACACGTTTGTATCGAGGCACCTCCAACCTAAAACAAAAACACAATCTCTGCAGTTAGAGGGAAGAACAGTTTTAACTCTCAGTGATGCCGCAGTGTTCGTTCGACTTTGGGACCTGAAGCGGACAGAGTTTTGGACCTAGATTACTCTGCGAGGCTCCTGACTACAGTAGCTGTAATGCTCCAACAAGCCATCTGACAATGCATCAAGCACTTCGTAGCTTACACAAGTCGTACTAAAACATTTTACAGATTTATGAGCGCCATGTACCACATAAAATTGGTTCAAGGTTAGAAAGCACAACCAGAATTCATACATAAGGCGCACCGGATTATAAGGCGCACTGTTGATTTTTGAGAAAATTAAAGGATTATAAGTGCGCCTTATGGTGCGGAAAATACGGTACAAAAAACAAAAAAAAACAAAGTGCTGGTCAATCACGGCAACAAAACTTGATATATAAATAAATCTCTTATCATTTATTTCAGGTTAAGCCTGTTAAAAATTGCAGAAACGCACTTATTCTTGAAGACCTGCAGTCCACGAACCAGTCCTTCCAGACATAGCAGATCATAGCGGTTAGCTGGTACATCGATCTTATACAGGATCACATCAGATGCTCCTGAGGCCTTAGTGTCACCCTGCTCTCTGCTGATTATCTCTTTCTCAGAGGTCTGTAAAGCAGATGGGGAAGAGGAACTTCAGCATGCCAGAATTCAGACACAAATGTAGACAAATCAAAGAACTGTACTTACATCTCTGCAATAACAGAGCATTACTGCATTACTTTATTAACCACAAATAGCGAGCTGTTCGTATTTGATGTCATGTACTTACAATTTCATCCAGCTCCAGCCCAAACTCAAAGCAAAGCTCGTCAAACTCCTCATCAGCTAAAACAAAAGGCAGACAGACATTATTAGAAGATATTTACTGGCACATGTCACAGCAGCCTGCTCACATTTAACCCTCTGGGCTCTATGCTGGCCATTTGTGTACACTTCACTTTCTTCAATTTTTCACTATTTTTTTAAATTTTCCAACTTCAGCTCCTTAATTATATCAATAATATACACTACACATGCAGTTATTCCTGTTGGCTCTATGGTGGCCACTTTTGGCCAACTGAAACCCATCTTTTAATTCCTTGTTACTGACTAAATCAAGTAATTTAGGTAAAATTCCTTTCATTCTAAGCTCAACACATGAAAATTGTAGCTTTCAATGTTTTTTACTAAATTACGTGATTTACCCATTTTTAGTCAAACGAGCAATTTAATGTAATATTCTTAGTTTCCAATAGGGGCATATGATGGGTTACCAGACTCCAATGGACCAAAAGAATGACACAGTTTTGACACAGGTTTGATCTTGAGGATGCCAGATAATAGTTTGTGTTTGTGCATGACATTGCAGCAGAAATATTTATTTGCAAGACAGACTGAAAGAAATTATGATGCATCAAACATTACATAAGCTGAAGTGAATTTATGTTGATGCGGCTATGGAGCCTGCATCAACAGCAAACTTAACACACAGCAAACTTAACTTTGAAGCAAATGCTAAAAGCACCTTGTATGGAAAATATTATGGAAAATACGGTAAGTTACTGAAAAGGTGCTTATGCTTAAAGTGCTTTGGCACTCTTTGGCAATAACGTAGATAATGTTAAAACTTAATCATCCTCTCAGCCTCCTCTGATGACCTGTTTGCTGCTGCCTGCCGCTGAAAGGCAGCGGGGAGAGGGGATACTTGAGCAGTGCATTTATCACGGCATATAATGTTTTTTCTGGATACACTGTGCTTTTTCAGCATTTCAATTTGAAATGTATCAGCACCAGTCACAAATGCAGTATTGCCGGCCATGGTCTTTCCACACTCACGACAGTAAATGCAGTGCATCATGTTGTCAGCTTTACAGTATCTTAGCCACGGAAACTGGTCAAGCCACTCTCTTTGAAATACTTTGTATACACTTTCCCCCTTTTACTTTCAGTGGGCTCTGGCTCGGAGTCGATCGTATGAGGCTCATTATCTGATGCTGTCTCCGGACCAATGTTAGACATAACCTGAGAGGTTGATGGCTCCGTGTCAGAGCACTAGCTATGAATTTCAGATGGCTCAGGCCTTAACGAAAAAGTAATCAAACGTTCTTTTCATCTTTTCTCATTATCCACAGCTACGTCCACTTCTGTCAGGCCTAGGCTACTCACTAGAGGTGAGTATTGTCACTGATTAAACACAGCGAAGATTTTCCTGGCCTGGCTTTTTATAGCAGATAACTGCCTTAAAAATATTCTGCAGTAGATCAAAAACTGAAGAAAACCATGAATCAACATATGAACATTACCCGATGCTGCTTAAGTGAAGCACAGCAAAGTTAGATGTTTTATTTGAGACACAGCCAAGCATTTTTCAATTTGGCATAATTTAAAAAAGTTTTAATTTCTTCGGTATTAAACAGCAGAAATTATGCTTTCTTGTCGGAGGTCATTTTTGGAAACAAAAAACAGCGGCCGACAGCACTGTACATGACTTAATAATAAGCGAATAATAAACAAATAAAGCGAATAATGCAGAAAACAGATTTGAGATACTGGTCATGAAGTACACTGAGAGAGAGCTGTGCAGGAAGTGTGATTTTATCGTGGTGGAAGCAAAACAGCGAAAGTAAGAGGGGATTCATGACAATGTTTATCTAATCGATTACACGTCCCAGACTCCATTAACAATACAAGAAAATCAAGCAGCACTGCAAATATATGAAATGGTCATTTTTGATGTTGTCCTCCAACAAGTGCATTGTACAAACGAACGTAATGACCATTTTATATTTATAAAAAAAGATGATAAAAACTGATGTTAAAGACTTTATGCAGTAAAAATAGCAACAAAACATAAAAATAATAAAAACTGCAGACTTAATCTGTTGGTGGACACTTTTGGCAACGAACAAGCTGACAGGATAGTGATTCTGAACAAACCCAGAGGCTTAAATGACAGGAGGAAGCGGAGGAAATGATGCAATCACGCTGTCAGTCAACAGGCAGATAGAAATGAACTAGTACTATTTCCTTATCGCAAAAAATACATAAGTTAACAAATAAACCAAAATAAACTTGCCATCAAATAAGTGGTACTTTCTTTAATAATTAGAAATGAAGGCAGTTAAAATTAGCTCTACAGTTCATGAGCAGCTGCTACATTGCTAACAATCAGACAGCGAGTTCACAACGTACTGACCTGAACTCTGTCGTTTAGAAGCAAAAATAAAAAAAGAGAAAACAGACGAGCAGATTAAAGGTTACCGGAAAATACAGTAAATATGACTTACTGTAACTTCTACCCAAAGCTTTGAATAGAAGATCCCGTTTAACTCCGACAGTCGGCATGTTCGCAGCTAATCGTCACCAGCTATGTGGAGGAAAAGGACCCTCACTAGCCGGTTGTAGTTGTCTGCAGAGGTGCCTGAGTGATTATTCTTTTCTTTTTTTTACTCTCAAAAAACTTTATTTAGAACTTAACATAAGCCGTTATGTTCATTCTTAATATAAGGAAAACGTTTAGATATATATTTGTTCAATTTTTGCAATGCAGCATGTGAGCTCCGGGACACAGACCTACAAAAAGGTTAAGCTATTTATTTACAGCTTTTTAGCTATTTAATTTTACTTCAAACAATCGGTAACACGTTGTTGCGTGCTGGAGAAATCATCATCATCATCATAACTAGAGAATGTGTTCCCTGAAGAAAATGCAGTGCGAAAGCTGATACGCGAATATTTTTTAGCTGAAATCCTGTAATTGCTAAAATATTTGGGAAACTTGTTAAATTTAACTGAAATACACCGAATCATTCACCTGAAAGCTGAAGCTCACACAGAAAAGAAGGTTCAAGGTTGGAAAGTAGCTGAACATCTTCAAAATACATATTAGTAAGTTAAATTTATTTGCCAAAGACACTGAGGAAATTGAATTTACGCCTGACCCCTGACCCCATGGGCCCCGACGTAAACCTTGGAACGCGTAGCCTACTTTTATACTTCAGTTCTGTCCAAAAAGGTTTTGAAGCTTTAGAGTAGCTTTTCAGAAAATAAAAGTACAGTAATTACACTGTACAGTGTACTACAGTGTGCAAGATATTAAAACAGACAAACAAACAAACAAAACCCGAAGCTCCTTTAAGCTGAAGGTCAAAACCTTTATTTAAATATTACACAGACTGCGTGTGCTGACCGAACAGGCTTGGGCTGAAGCAATGCAGCACCTAACCTATTTTCAAGTAGGCTATCATTACTTAAAGGGGACTCAAGAAGGAAGCCCCCTGGCACCGCTCTGGTGGAGCGGACACCGCCGTTGCAGTCGACTAACCCGTTTCTCTCTATTCTGCCTCCCCAGGACTTGGAAATGACCGGTACTGTACCCGAGAAACTGGGGCAGGAGTGCTAGAAGTGTGGGCTGCTGGGACACCTGATGCGGGAGTGCCCGCTGATGGAGGTGCGACAGGTGTTCTGTGGCGCCAGTGTTCTGGATTATCTGGCGTTGTGAATTAACTGGGGACGGTCAAACAGATGGTGATTTTCCGTTGGCAGATGGGCAGATGTTTTCTTTGTTGTGGTTGTTGTTGTTGTTTTGTTTGTTAGTTTTTTGTAGGTATAAACAATGAAAGGTAGTGGATTGGCCAATTGGTCATGGTCGACTCTGGCCTGGACCAATTAAAGCCGAGGAGGTTGGCTGCACCCTCCCCCTTCCTTGTGCTACGGCTCTGAAAGCAATCTTATCACAGATAAACAGAAGAAAATGGTATTGAGGTATCCGTATTGAGGTTAAAAGGAACGCGATTAGTCAGGGTTAGGGTTAGGGTTAGAATACACACACACACACACACACACACACACACACACACACACACACACACACATATATATATATATCTGTGTGTGTGTGTGTGTGTGTGTATTTTTCATCTATTGTGGCCCAATTTCAGACAGAATTGTGAACCCCACTTTAGAGTGGGCAGTCGTAATGAAGAGGTTCATTTTATTTTGTAGATTTAAGCTGCTCTTCATATTTTTGGCCACCAGATGTCACCAGATTGCACTGTGTTGAAAGGCTTCCAGTAACTCATTTACAAGACAGCTTTGAAGATCTGCTGGCATCTTCCGAGCTACAGGGCTTATGTGAGACCCACACCCATCTAAACCAAAACTGACATGAGTGACTGATATGAGATCATTTCTGAGGACCTGAGAGTGGTGGTGGTTTAAATGTCTCCTTTTATTTTTAGATTGCAATGATGATGGAGTTCCTTAGACTTTAAAAGGAAAACAAAATCCTATCACACATCACTGCTGAAGATCTGGGGGATTTTTTTGGTGGAGAAGAGCAAACAGACACTCAAAGAGCAGTAAGTTACTGTGACACCTACAGATCATCCACCTCACACCTGAAACTCTGTTTGTGATGAAGTGTAAATGCCAAGAGAAAACCTCTATTTTTTCTTTTGAAGGCTTTGGGACTTGGAGGATTTTGAGGAAAAAGAAGCCAAACCACTTCTGAAAATGGTAAGACTAGAAAAAAAAAAAACATGTTCTGGGTTTTCGTCCAAAGTTGACTGGTATTTGGAACTGTTCATTATTCATTTCACCTTGACTAAAGACCTTGTTCCACCTGAAGACAAGCAACCCCAAACCATGATATTGCCTCCACCATACTTCACCAAGGGTATGGTGCTCTTCTGGTGATGTAAAGTGATTATGCAACTTATTATGAACTTATGCAGTTTATGCAGGTTTATTCTACAATGTCAGATGGCTGCATCTCCCTGAGTCTGGTTCTCCTGGAGGTTTTATCCTGCACTTAAACTTTTGATATATAGCACCCTCAGGTGGCTGCTGTTGTGATTCGGTTCCACATGAATAGAATTGAATTGAAAAATCCAATTCAATTGGTCACATTAAAGATGGGAAAACTTTTAAAAGTAAAATCACAAATATCTGGCATTTTAACAGAGGTCAATTTCATTCATTTTTAGCCTGAATTATAAATATAACTTACTTGCGCTATATTAATTTGATGTCTGTTGTTCATATTTTCTTTCACATTTGTCATAAATATTATGAGTTGTCTTAAGGAGGGAAAGTAATATTATACTTTAAAGAAGATAATGTAATTAAAAATGAATGCTATTTTCATAGTAAATAGTATTTTTCTTCATTTTCTGTCTTAACATATATGAAACATTTAAAAAAAAGCACCACTGACAGGACAGATAGCAAATAAGAGTCAAGTTCTCTCATAGAAAACAAAATGCACTACTATTTGTAATACTGAGGAGAAAACTGTTTGTTGGAGCCCAAGGCGAAAGTCAGATTAAATAATTTCAGAGAAGAAAAATGTATTGAAAAAGAGTAGCAGTATGTGAACTAGCTCAAAATAATGAATTCAAATGTCAAAAAGGACAGAGAACCCTTTTAGGGCTGACTGAAAACACTACCGTAAAGGGATGAGTGTGAAGAAACATTTGACTAGTAGTGATGCACTCCCATCACACAGGGTGGGGTGGGGGTGGGATTCTGGAGTCTATCCCAGCTACCACAGGGAGCAGGCAGGGTATACCCTGGACAGGTCCAGGACCAATGAACCTAACCTCAATAATTGCATGTCTTTGGACCTGGGAGGAAGCTGTGGAGTACCCGGAGAGAACTGAAGCAAACACATGATCATATATTTGCTGCTTGCAAACATATTCAGTCTGTTTCTAATCAAATCAACAGAGTACACATTCCAATGATACTTTCAAAAGCAATCTGAGTTGGATGGCCTATTTTCAAGTCTAAGAATGATTTAGAATGAAAGATTACAGTTCTCCATATAGAAATGTCCACTCTAAAGCGTTTAAGCGTTGACTCTTTAGTCATCAAACCTGATTCGATTTTTGGATGAACATTGTTCAAAGTAAGTAAAGAATAACTTGTTGCAAAGTAGATATGATGACAAACATGTACAATGTTGTTTCAGTCTCTTTTTTCAGTGTCCTAATCACATAAAGTCAGTCAATTTTACTTTACGTGATTAAAATAGCATTATTCAGTACAGACATAACAATCGCACTGCCATACACCTGGACAAAAAGCAAATAGGTAATAGAGTTGATTTTCAGTTTTCGGATTCATACCTGAAGTTGAAGTATTTATTGTTTTATCTGTTCCCTGTTATCTTGCTATGCTTCAACCACAGCAGCAGAAAGAGACAGGTTTTTGTCTGATCGTAGAGAATGATCGTTGCTCTCTTAGTGGAATTGTTGCACGGAGGATGTAACATCTATGCAAAGCACTGAGATCTATCGCTTGGTCAGGATTAAGTCCTCTCTCAGCTTCCAGGTTAGCAAAAGTGTCACTGGAGATATTCAAATACATCCCTCCACAGATGTTGATGAATTCTACAAAATAAAAAACAGGTTGTTAAAAACACTTGAACTTCACCACTCATTATATGAAATATCGTAGTATACAGTACAATGAAATGTCAGATTAGCATTGTGTGTCATATCATAGGCAAGTTTAGACCCTTTAATAATAGTAAAAGCTTTAAAAAATATATTATTTTCTGGAATAGTCTATCTTTTTCTAACTTATCTGTTGACGACAGTACAGGATAGAATGAAAACAGGTTTTAAGTCCAGTGTTGTTGTTGATGCCATGATGTTACAGTGCGCTCACACAGAGGGAGGTTTGTCATTAATAGGCTCAATAAGACTTTCATTGTTGTGATAAAAAAAGAATATGCAGAGATTTAAAGCACACTTTAACTGAAACATTAAAAAACTTCAAATTGTTCTGATGATGCCAGGTTAAAACCTTACTGTTGAACAGTGTGTACTGTTCAACAGTAAGGTTACAGTAAAGGGATGAGTGTGAAGAAACAGTAAGGTCTGAAGTGTTACCCAGAGGTTGATTTTAAACCGCTGTCTGTGTGGTTTTACACATAAAAATAACTACGTTTATACGAACACTATTTTGCATGAGCTAATGATTATATACATTAAACAAACACCCAGGCAGGAATCTCCCACCACCGAGGAGCTCGACACCGCGCGTTGTCATGGCGACAAGCATCCCATCTTAAATTTGTCTATAAAGGTGAATTCGGGCTTCGCGCACTGGTTTGTATGCGGGTGTCGTGCTCGTGACGTCTTGCTCTTTTGTGACCGTCAGTAACCCATGCGGTCATGTCGAGCCTTCCTTCCATGTCGGCCGGCCCCTAGCACGCGCCACCTCCGCGAGTCCAATCATAACTCAAAGAATGCCCACCCTCTCCCTCCCAACCCGCCATCCAAGTCGTCCTCGTACAACAACACAGCGCGCGTGTCACTTCCGGACCGGGCAGCGCACAGCATCAGCAGGCAGAGTGAGAGCCGATGGATGAACATATGAACGGAGCCGTCACAGACAGAGCCTGAGCACAGACACACTGAAGACGTGCCAGCGATAAACTAACAGAAACATTTACCGGTAAGTTTCCTCGTCGTTTTGTGACGAGCACACAGGATGCTGTGGCACCGTCAAGCTACACTAAAAAAATGAAGATCTACTCTGGAAGTAAGAAACTTTATGCGTCTAAAAACAAAAACAGGTCTAAGAGGTTTATTAAATGATGTTGAATGTCACATGTTCTAAATATTTGGGAGCTAACTTAGAGGCCTGCCAAATAAAAGAGCCAGTGACTGGGGGGATTTTATGTACTAAGTATTTTAAATAGCAGTTTTGCTATTAGCTTTCTGACTTGTTTCGTTGCAGGTAAAGATAAATAATGCCCATAATTATTGTTTTTATTGTTTTTTATTTTATTTTTCTTCTTAAATGAAATGTGGGCATTACCTCCCATGTTGTAAAGTGTTTTACTTTAGAATTCGAAACCGGAAGTGTAACTGACGGTAACTGGTTTGTGTTGAATGTTGCAGCTGGAACATCTGTGGCTCACTGCTGAGCCCACTGAACTGATAAAGTCATTGAAATTACACAACATGTTACATGTCTTTGGCCTCACTCTTAAACCTTAATAAGGAATGATTTATGCCCCTTAAAATAATTTTGTAACATTTCTTCATGAGCTAAAATAGGTCAGCTTATTACAGTCTTAATTTTTTTTGACGTGGAAACTTTTATAAATGTCCCTTTTCCATCTCTCCTTTGGTATTCACATTTACCCAATTACGAACAGCAGACAAGTGGAGCACATTTTAAAAGAACATTTGTTGTACTCAAAGGCCCAGAGCGGAAAGTGTGTCAACCTCACCACAATCCTTGCTCTAACACGTACAATCCCAACCTGCTGGCTGCTTTTAGTTTCTATTTACACAGCTGACGGGAACTTGCCTGTGGTGGCAGTTATCAAATGATGCAGGTCCTTTAGAGTGCTCCTGTACCTAGAGACAGAGACGCTGTTGTCTTGCAGAGGATGGTCCGATGTGATCAGCACACACACACACACACACACACACACACACACACACACACACACACACACACACACACACTCCTTCCTGCAAGCCAAGACACTAGTCTACTTCATTGTGCTGTTATAAAACACATCTGAAGCTGGGTATGGAGGGGAAACAAGGATTTTTATTTAAATTTACTGTGATTTGTCTGCTTAGCTGTGAACACCCTCTAAGCTCATATCGGAGAAAGAAACAAGTTGTTGATTGGCATGCATGCCAGTAGTTTGTGTCACCACAGAAGCAGAGTAAAGCTGCAGTCTGATCCGCATAATCCAAGCAATTGTGTTTTGTGCTTTCACTCTTGTTGAAATCACACTTCATTGGTTTTGATTGTGTCATTATTTTAAATCTGGGCCCTCAAACCAAACACAAACATACGAACGAACCTCATATCCTATTTCTTTTTACACACACACACACACACACACACACACACACACACACACACACACACACACACACACACACACAAAACCCCGTTCAGCTAGCTTAGTGTGGACCTTCATTGACATGATGGTTTCCCTAGCCCCTTTACCATTAAAAATGAATGCCTAACCCTTACCCTAAACCTAACCATAACCTAATTGTAACCCTGACACTAAAACCACATTTTGAGCCTCAAAAAGGCCTTCACACTTGTGTGTCCTCATAAGTGACTGTTGGTTGTTCTCACAAGTATAGTAGAATGCAGATTTCGGTCCTCACAAAGATAGCTAGACAGGAACACACACACACACAAAGTGTGACCCTCTAGCCTTGAGGTGCCCCATTTCAGAGTCGATTGACCCACACAGCAAACGGCTCAAGGATTGTATTTGCTAACCCTGACCCCGATTGTTTCCGTTCGGTGCATTGTTTCGCCACAATGTCCTTGTTAAAGTTTCTGCAAGGTTTCGAGGCCGCCTGCTTAGCTGAGTGGGTGTAAGCACTGTGACGTGTGCACACAAAAGACCCCATTCACGCCATCTCCTGAGGAAGCAAAGATTCCCTCACACACACAGGCGCACACACAGGCGCACACACATGCCGGCTCACCCCACCACTACGTAGACCGTACCACTATATTACTCAATTAATCCAGTGATTAACTCAGTGAGTGGAGACTGCCTGCAAATCTCTCGCTGTTGCATAAAGCTAACTATTCAGTAACCATTAGTCTACATGTTATGTATACCCATTCTTGAATGCAGGCGATTAGAGCCAGCCTTGTTATTGGTTGCAGTTTTGCAGTTTAGACTCTTGATCCTTCTTTTTCTTTGCAAAGACATAGTGCAGCTGGTGTGTAAATCAGGCTGCATGTGGTTGTGAAAAGCCTCTTCTAAACCATCAGTAGGTCAGGATGCTGTCTTATGGTCAGCAAATGGCTATTTAGGGCAGTTAGTGATGTAGAACCAGGACCATCAATCTTTTATTTATGCTAACTTGAGTATATTTAATGTAGCCAAGTGAAATCTGACCTTCATAATATGAGTTATGAAGCCTATAAGCACATAGGTTTGGGGTGCAACTTGGTACTTTTTAAACTGCCTTATTTTTTCCAACATTTTTTAGCCTGTATGAAGATATCTTACGTTTAATTTTGAGGGCTGAAAAATTGAATTACATTTTATTTATGTACCGCCAAATCACAGCAACAGTTGCCTCGACACATTTGGGCAGTGTGAAACATGCAGGTGGGCAAGTGGCTGGACCTAAACAAGTTACAGCATTTTAAAGGTCAATTTCTTAGCTACATTTTGATACAAGGCTCATCCTCATCCTTCTGTGTCAAAATAAAATTTGCATCGTCTAATGTTTTTAATGGCTTCATTTAATACGCTAAAGCTATCGTATAAAAATTTAACTGATTCTGAAGGCGTCAAGTTGAACTCACTGTTTTTTTTGGAAAGGTAGTGAAGTTATCAGGTCCTTTCTCTGCCCTTGCGCAAACTAACTAATGGTACCTGGTAACACACACAACCACTGTTAAGTTTTAAATATTGTTCAAGATGCAACAATGCTGGACATTGTGTGTTTTTTAGAATTCAAAATGGGAGTATTACTCCTCTGTAAAGGTTCGTGAGGGTCTGCAAATGCAGGATGCAGAGGGACGTTAAATCGCAAAAGATGAACCTTTAATAGCTGAGATAGACAAAGTCCAAAGGGCTTCAAAACCACAGCAGCAGAGAGCAAAAGAGGAACAAGTAAAGAGCAAATGGAGAACTGATAAGGAGAGAAGCAATACTGTTTAAACAGAGGTGAAAATGATCAGGCACAGGGGAATCTTATGAGCGCTACGCAGATGTCCACAAAGAAGCAAGGAAAATCTGTATAAACAAACAGAGACTTTTTTAACCCCTCCTGACCAAAGCCAAAGCAGCTGAACTCTGATACTAACTAGAGCTATGAAGTTTAAAAGATGTCACTGTTTAGCAGTAAGGGATCTCTAAAGACATGACGGGGGGGGCATTGTGTTTTCTGGAGTAAAATTCAGTATGTCTGGGTCTATCCTGCTAAACTTTCTCAATTTTTTTTTAAATCTCTCTGTTAAATGTTCTCAATTTAAAAAAAAAAATCCACTACAATAAAAGCACTGTATCATTAGAACTAAACTAAATTAAAACATAAATCACTGGGCCTTTAACCTATGCCATGGTATAAAATGTGTCAAACCCTCTGAATGAGTTGAAGCAAAGTGAAGGACAGAGTCACTGAGTACAGAAGAAAAACAGATTTTAACTTTATTGCTTAATGGAAGTCAGGAGTCATTTTTAACAACTAGCAGAAGATAGTGGAAATTATTTGATATTTTACAGGAGATCTAAGCCATCTGTTCCTCGTTGACACTGAGCAGCAGTGGAAGAAGTTGTAGTCTGCCAGCACCATGCCTTCCTGAATCTTTTTCCTCTTGTTTAATAGATTGTTTAGCACAGTGCCGCTCATCCATTGTCTTTGTTTCCTTGAGCTCCACTTTGAGCAAAAGAAAAATGACAAATGGGACAGTGGGGCCAACAAACGAACACTGAAGAGTGATGGGGTAAAACTTGTGTTCCACCAGGGTACAGTTTTGGTAAGCTTTAGCATCCTGTGATGAAGCAGGGCGTCCTTGCTGGGTAACGAGACACCAGGAAGAACCACAGAGCTGCAGAGAAAGGAGTCCATGTCCCACAGGGAACAGATGGTGGTCTGGGAGAGCAGTGCTGGTAAAATCTTTGATTTATTTATGAGTCTCAAAGGGACACTCGTGGGATGAGTGTGTACAGGAGGAAGGTGGGCACAGTGTGTGTGTTTTTCAGCGGGCAATTTTGTTTGAGAGGTGGGGGAACAATGTGAAGCGGCAAGATGAGCCTCTTCCTCCTATGAATAATAAATTACTGCTGCTAAAACGGACTGTTGTAGAGTGTGAATGTGCGCACATACACACACAAGCTGTTTTGACAGACGGTGTTATTTTAGCTGCACAGCTGCAAAGACGGCCGATGGCCTGAATAGAAACATCAATATACATTATGGTTATTTGTCATAGTAGTGCCCGTAAATAACACCTTAAGAACCTTATTGACCCAGAAACTAAGAGAATAACAAATAATACATAATATAGCACAGAGCTGAGTAGCGAAAACAGCTTATCAAAAAGTGTTAACTAGCCTAAAACCAAAGAGGGGGCTGATTCTCTGATCGTATAGTCTATGGTTGCAGTCTATTAAAATAGCTCACTTAAACTGTTGTACTTTACTGATAGGTTTATAGTCTCCATCACTAGTTTAATGCCTTGGTAAATATAACATCATGCTCATATTGTATCAACAAGTGGTTAAGTGGTTGCCAGTAGTGATGACAGTTTTAAGATAAGCATTTTTCCAGCTCAGTCACCACACCTAACAGCCAGATCGTCATATTATTCGGCTGTTGGGTGTGGGTATCCTAGTAATCCACAGTAATCGTGATCTGGTGTCTGTGGTGTCTCAGAGTCAATGAGACATTCTTCTACAGCTTGGCATGACATTTAATTTACTTGAATCACTGTAATTATTAATAGAGATGAAGACATTTCAAATGTTTGGTTATACTGGGAACTAGTTTTATTTACCAGCCCTGATTTCTCACCCCAAATTTGAAATCATTGTTTCTCTTGACAAAAGAAACTGTTTAACGTGACTCATCCTCAACATTCTGTACTAAAATCAGTCAGTGCACTCCTAATTCTGTGCCTCTTTGATGGCAAATTTACATTTAGTTTTCTGTATAGAGAGTCATGGTAAACATTAAAGTAAGCTCTCTTTAAATTCTGAGGTTTTGTGTATCAGGACATGAAAAAAAAAATCTGGTCTTAAACTCAGATGAATGAAAACACGTCCTCATTTCTTCTACAATTACATGCTTCAGATAATTTAAAAAATCCCATTGATGGGATAGTGTAAGATTTCAGTCAACGTAGGCTTTTTAAATTGCAAAATAATCTCAACTCAAAATTCACTTAATGTTTTGCTTTTTCCTTCATGGTGTGAAATAATCATTCATGCTGAGCCTATTATTTTTTTAGTTCATTGACCAGGTTCTGTATCTATCTTGAAAATTAGATATCAGCACTTTATACTAACTGGTACCTATTGGTAAGGCGCTTTTATATTGACATGATAATGTTGCCTAATTGCCTTCATGGGTTATAGGGAACTACACTTACCAGGAAGTCTGTAAGATAACCTTAACCTTAACCTTAATCTCTGTTCAGGACTCTGGATAGCTCCCAAACTCATCTTCTGTAGGTTACAGTCTCCGTCACCAAGTGCATACCTGTTCTGTGTGTGTCTGAAGAAGCTAGGGATGAGGTGAAATTTCAAAGATACGCACACACAACACAGCCACCTTTTACCCAGTGAAGTAGATGTGAGGAAGTCCCTCTGCGCAAACCTCATCACATTCTCTCTAAATTTTACATCATGGAGTTTAACGGGCGGATTCTTGAGCTATAGCTTGTTCCCTGTTCTTATCTGCTCCTGACTTGGCTATCTCCTTCTGTCGAGTTGCTTGAATCCTGTCACACATCCCACATGTAGACTTTCAGAAACCTCACAGTTAGTGTAGTTTATGTCTGTTATAGCTGACCTTTTTACTTTTTTCACTTCTTCCTACGTGTCCCCATCCTTTTTGATTTGTTTCTCCTTATATTTCCTCTCTGGTCTCCTTCCTCACCGCTTCATCTGTCTGTGTTGTTTTGCTGTCTTCGACACTAACAGTGACTGACATTGACTGATGTGCTCTCTTCTTTGGCGTGAGTGCACCGGACACAGGAGTTGCAGGGTGGGGAAGGAACATTTGAGTAAGAGAGTCGATGTGTAACACCATCTCTTGCCAATAACATAATAACAAGCTTCTGCTTTACTATCAGCGAGAACATGTGAGGCAGTGCTTTGTTTCAGTTTCGGAATGAATCTCTTGGAAAACCACAGGAGTGTTGTAGACACAAGCATAATTTTGAAACTAGTTTAAAAATTTCCTCTAATGCCATGTTGTGGATATTTTTTAGGAGTATTGCAGAGCTGTGGGCATTGCATTAGCAGAAAGGGAGAATTGAGAAGGCAACAGAAGAAACAAGGGAGCAACTGAACCAGCACGAGCAGGCACTTCTTCCCCGCTCTCTTCTCTCTGCTTGTCACAGCTTTGCCAAGATGAAGCTGAAAGAGGACCTGAACCCCATGCTGCTGCTCCTCTTCCACCTCATGGTGTGGATCTACACCGTCATCACCTTTCTGCCTTCCTACCTCCTTAGCTGGGTGTCCAGACCTGACGGGAATTTCTACGGCTCAGAGGAGGAGAGAGCCAAGAGAGCCAAAGCTCGTTCGGTCCTGGGACAACCAGAGGGACCATACCGAGCAGTGAGCTCCATGAAGAAGCTGGTCACATCTCTACATCCGGGAGTGGACACACTGGATAAGATGTTCGAGTACGCAGCCATGAGGTTCCCCCACAGAGACTGCCTTGGGACAAGAGAGGTGATTAGCGAGGAAGATGAGCGACAAAGCAACGGGAAGGTGTTCAAGAAGGTAAAAAATGATATGGAAGTGAGGAAGTAAATGTTGTGTTGTAGTAGCAGTGTAGCTAAAAAGGGGCTATCCAACATTCTATTACAGGTACTTAAAGGACTACACACTTTTATCTGTCCCTTAAGTATGCAGCTGCAAACAGCATTTAAATTTAAGAAGTATGTCTGCTTACAAATGGGGTAATAGAAATAGCATAAGAAGGTGCACAGAGAGTGATATTAGAAGTGGCACGGAAACTGAAAGACTCACTATGCAGTTGCAAGTTGTGGGGTTGGAAGTTGCATCTAGAGCCGGGAGAACGGTGGAAAAAGGAAGGATTGCATTCGTTGAATCATACAAAGCTGCTCTAGAGTTCAAGAATAAAAATATTGATTTTGAAATAAGTAAAATGGGTACAATTTCAGGATTTGTCAGGAAATATCTCATGAAAGGTACCGTATATATAAAACACAAGTTTTATATATATATCCAACGGATGAATATTTACCATTTTTATTAATTTCTTTCCCATGTGGGATAACATAGAAGATACTAAATTGCAACCCATAAACACCCTTGTGTGTAGCTCCATGTAGGAAAATTGCATCGACAGTGGTTCAGTTATAATTCATATTTTCATAATGACTGTGGTATGGATCTGTGAACTGCATTAACACCCAGCGTGCAAACCTCATTTAAAGCTTGTTTAAACAAGCTTTGCCTCATTTCTTTATCTAGTGTGAGTTATGTTAGCAACGTGCCTGTTAAAGCATAGCATTGAAATACATGGCACCTTTTCTTTAAATCTAACAGGCCCAGCTCTCAGCCCCCAACCTCACATTTAAAAAAAAAAACTTTTATGTATTTAGGATGAATACCTGAAAACCAGCTACGCAGTGTAGCTTTTAATAAAAGTTACTCACTCTAGACTAAAAAGAGCTTTTGCTGTGAAGTATTTTCATCTGCAGATTACTGTTTATTATTGAAGGATCCTGTTATTCAAGTGCAACGCTGTGCAACACTGTGGCTCAGTCGTGTATTTGTAAGACAATAGTTTTAGAGAGTTATTACTCAATGTGTGGATTTCTATGGTGTGATATGAAAACATCATATCCATTGGATAATAAGCAAGAGATTGCATAGCCATGTTGGACAGGGTGTCAGTGTAAGGAAGCCTCTGATAGGGACTGGGCAAAGAGCAGAAGGATTCTGAGATGTCAATCAATAGGCAAGCTGTCAAGCTTACAGCTTTCAGAAACTAATGACGAAAAGAGGAGGCTAGACATTTTTCATATTCTAAAAAATAAAGTTTGTAAAATTCCAAATGTCTTCAAAATGTTCCTCTGTGACTTCTCTTGGCCTGCTGTCTAGACAAACCTCTTGTTAATGTTTAAAATGTTCAAAATCCACTTCCAGATGCTGCTACTCTTTCAGCTGACAGCTTGTCTACTAGACCACTTATTTCCTTCCATCCATCCATTCTCTTCCGCTTATCCTTTTCAGGGTCGCGGGGGGTGCTGGAGCCTATCCCAGCTGTCATAGGGCGAGAGGCGGGGTACGCTCTGGACAGGTCGCCAGTCTGTCACAGGGCCAACACACAGGGACAGACAACCATTCGCACTCACATTCATTCACACCTAGTGGCAATTTGGATTATCCAATTAACCTATCCCCACAAGCTGCATGTCTTTGGAGCAAACACGGGAAGAACATGCAAAGTCCACACAGAAAGACCCCGGCCTGATGGTGGAATTGAACTCAGGACCTTCTTGCTGTGCGGCAACGGTGCTAACCACCGTGCTGCACCTATTTCCTTCAACCTTGCAAATGTTAGGACAGAGGGTAGAGTATGAATACGAAGTAGCAAAATCAAAACAGTAAAAAAAAGTATTTGTTATTAATCCAGAATTAGTGTAAATTGGAGCAGAAAGAAAGGAAGAAGACTTCTGCTTTCAAGATTTTTAGCTATGTTTTCTTCTTCAGTGTGCCTGCACAGTTAGGTGTTTATGTTACTTGTGAATTACCTCATTAAACCCAGTGGCCTGATCCCTGTAATCCATTGAATCTCCACTGTTGAAACACTTATTGCTGCAATAGTGCATAATTAGGCTGTTTAGCTAGCTATTGTTCCCAACCAGTGGAAAACAGCACCGTGTAGTCACTGTGGCTCTGTGTTCTTCTGCGTGTTTATGTGCACTGACATTTCTTAACCATTAGGAGCCGGTATAAGCTCACTAATACATGTGCAGGCAGCTCTCTGAACATAATGTGTGAGTGGTGAAGAGAATATCCAGAAGCCTATGCTTATCTTTCTTTCGTGCAGCTGATGACCGTGACATGCAGCAGCATGAGAATGACAGCAAGAGGAAGTACTTCTGTTTGGCAACAGTGGACAGTTGCTCCCTTTCCTGTGACTTCTTAATAAGGAACAGGCCAAGCATGTGACTGTGGGATGGGACACAGGAGCAGGGCTTTGCAACAGTTCAGTGGCTTTTTTAAGGAGATAATAGATTTGCATCATTCCATCTTTCAGTTCCTTACCATTCATCTTTTTCCTTGCTCTGTTCCTTTAATAAAACCCTGTATATTTGACAAAATGAATGAATAAAACCCATTAACACTTATACTTTGTCTTCATTGAGACTGGAAACAGTTTTCTCTTACTTGACAGCAAGATATTTATGCGTCTTTCTCCGGCCTCCCCTCTTTCCAACACCCCTGCAGGTAATTCTGGGCGAGTACCGCTGGCTCTCCTACAAGGACACCCTCACGGCAGCCTCCCATCTGGGCAGCGGTCTGGCGGCGTTGGGGCAGCGGCCTAAAACCAACATCGCTATCTTCTGTGAGACACGAGCAGAGTGGATAATAGCTGCCCAGGCTTGTTTCACATACAACTTCCCATGTAAGTCCAGGTTTCTCTGAGGACTTAAACATGCAGCGAACATTGCATACATAATGCTAACACAAGGACAGAAACAACGATCTCTCTATACTACTATGCATCTTTTTGTTTCATATGGACTTTCCATTTGCCCTCCTTTACACTACAGTGGTCCCTCCTTTATCACGGGTGTTACGTTCTAAAAAATAACCCGCAATAGGTGAAATCCACGAAGTAGCGAACTTTATTTTTTACAATTATTATAGATGTTGTAAGGCTGTAAAATCCCTCACTACACACTTTATATACTTTTCTCAGACAGGCATTGACATTTTCCACACGTTTCTCTCTTGTTTAAACACTCTCAAAGTTCTCTCAAAGAAAAATACATCCAGTATTATAGAATGAAACCAAAGATCACACTCTGTTTTCAGGCCCAGACCCTGGGAATAGAGCAGCTGCGTGAGAATACAACATTAATGAATCAATGGTACGGAAGTAGAGGAAGCAAGAAGAATGAGTTGAGTAAAGTTTGACTTATCCGACTGTTTGGTTTCGCTTAATGCGCCTTATAATCCTTTGATGTCAACACTGTTGTTTTTGTTTTCTTCTGCTAGCGAAGATTTAAATTTGACAAGCTGGATGCATTCTGTACTGTACAGGAGACACGGCACGAGACTGAATGAAAATGGTCTACAGTCGATCAGGACGCAGAACACAATGCGCTGTAAAAAAACAAAAACAAAAAAACATGCAAAATTACACAAAAAAAACCCCAGTGAGGCTGCGAAAAGTGAACCACGATGTAGCGAGGGACCACTGTATACAGATGTGTAATGGAGAGGAGTGTGTGTCTGTGTGTGTTATTTTGGGTCCTGTTGCCAGTGCAGCCCGAGCTGCTGTCAGGTACTGTTAGTTTTTCTTGGTGTTACTTGTGACAAATGCTAACTGACATTCAGCCTACAATCCACCCTTATAGCAGTAAGTCCAGAGCTGAAGTTAAGGCCTCCTCAGTTCAGTGTTACTTCAGAAGTAGGCGAGCCCAGATGTGGGACACAGGAGGCATCAGCTTAAAATTACAAACCCAGTCAGGTACATAAAAACACAGGGAAGAGGTTATAGGTGAGAATCACCAGACACCGAATGATACAATATTATCACAATACTTAACTCTCGATATGCTGAGTATTTCAGTAATATATATTGTGATTAATCATGTTTTCTCACTTCAGTTGTTTTTTTGCTGAAAAATAAGATATTCAAGCATACCAACACTGTCACTAAAACTGCAATACATGTTCCCATAAAATGGAACCCATCTGATAACGGTCTGATATTACTCACATATCTGTCTGCAATTGTATGGGGTCAATTTATGACAATTACAGTGGGGCAAAAAAGTATTTAGTCAGCTACCGATTGTGCAAGTTCCCCCACTTAAAATGATGACAGAGGTCAGTAATTTGCACCAGAGGTACACTTCAACTGTGAGAGACAGAATGTGAAAAAAA